ATCTAAAAAGAGCCTTCCTTTCTCTATTAGAAACTTTTGTCGTTGCTGGTTAGCAGCAACGGTGTAAATCTAAATCCTGCAGGCTAAGTAAATTTACATTTACGCCATAGTTCAGGTTATATTAAATTGATCGAAAAACGTTCTGCACAAACATACTACCATTCAAAAGTAGATATTTTCTAACTCTGTCTTTCTTAACAGTATAATTGAAATAGGTTTTTTTTTCTTAATTAAATAAAGAATTTCCATTTTCTCCTTCCTACTCTTCTAGATGTTAGATTTAATAATAATGTTTAATAGATAAAAATTTTTAATTTTACATACATTAAAAAAATACAGTAAAGTTAGAACGGAATTCAGGTGTATAAAAATGATACGTACAAAAAATGACAAATACTTTTTTGAGTGGTAGTGTAGGTGAAGAAAGCCGTATTCAGTCAAAGCGAAATATTTTTGTACGAATTTTTATAATTTTCAATTCAAGTAAACTCCGCACCGATTGTTTGTCTGCTACCGTGATTTTAATAATATGTGAATTGAAATGTTAAAAGGAATCATGAATAATTAAAAGTTTATTAATGTTTATCAATATTAATAATAATATAAATATATTTATCATTAATCATAATAATATCATCTTACGATAGCGGAAGATTTTAGTTTTCTGTATAAGTAAATTATACGACGAAAAATCGTATTACATGATTTTTTTTATAAGGGTAAATTTCTAAATAAAAATATAATAGTTGGAACAGATAGAATTGGCGGTATAAATTTCTGTGATATTAATTTAAACTTTTAAGCGCAAAGGGGTTAGATGAGAACGGAAAATCCTCCGCAGTATAAATGAAAGGGACCAGCCTGCACCTGCTTCCCTCTCTCTGGGAGATAGAGGGTGGAACTCGAGCGTGGCTCTGCCGTTTTCCTCTTCCTGGAGAACCTTCGAATCTCGGATTGAACATAAACGTTAGTTCATGATTGGATATATTGATTGCTTTTCAGCGGCCAAATAGTGAAATCGTTATATTCCCAACTTAATAGAGCTTTTTCCTCTTAACAATTGGAAGACGCGATTGTTAAGGCTCTGCGATATCGCATTAATGTCGACGGCTGACCCTTCGCTTTGACCCTGAAGAACTCCTCCAAAGAGAGAGAGAGAGAGAGAGAGAGAGAGAGAGAGAAGAACGTGGACCCCCAGGATTTCTGTCACGCCGCGAAAGATAACTGGAAGATTGGACGTCGTTGTTGTCACGGAACGGATGTAACGTTCCCGAGTAAATCCACCCCCGTTCTCTCGGGATGCTCGCGGGAAGTTCGCGGAAATAACAATAGGTAGAGGAGAGGAATGGTGAATGAGACGCGCCGACAGAGCTGAAAGACGACGCGGCCATTCAAGGGTGCCCCGGAGCGAGCGGGACCGATGCGCGCGGAGAGATGTGAGCGCGCGCGACCGCAATCACGGTAGCCGGAAGGGTGCAGATAGTCGGGATGGGGGAGGGGGGGGGAGGGAGAGCGCAAGAGAGCAGCTCGCTCCCGAGAGTTGGACGAGACAGAGACGGAGAAATAATTACAGAGACGCCTCGTCGATAAATCAAGCCCGGTACCCTCTCTCCCCGTCTCTCTCTTTCTTTCTCTTCTCCTCTTTTCCCCTTGCGAGTGTACCCTGCCTGCTATAGTCCCCCTCTAACCGTCCCCTTCGTCCTCCGTCGGCGGTGCTGCCCTTTTTCACTATCTCTCTCCGTCTCTCTCTCTCTCTCTCTCTTTGTCTCTCTTCCTCTACCCCTTTCCTCTCCTCCGCTTTCCACCGTTAAGCCACGTTTCTTGCTTCGTAGAGCAGAGAGTAGTGTCTTTATTACGCTCAGTGTACCCGACCGCATTCTACAGGCCGACTCACAAATGCATAAGCTCGCTGTCATCGTCGCGGCAATTACATCATTACATGCAAGTTTCTTAGTGATCGAAAAAAATAATCGGACTATTGGATGATGTCCACAGAGAAATTGTAATGCATATTATGTTATTTGCTTTGTGTATCATCTCCCTTGTTTGTCGAATAAAGCGACACCTCGTTAAAAATGGAATACAATTTTATAATTATACAATTTTGGAAATAACTATCATTGATTTTAATAAAATATCATTAATTTTCTCAAAGAAGTTTAACAACTTCTCTTTATAAAGCTCCGAAATCTAAGATTATTTAGAATAGAGTTTTGTAGAAAAATGATATTTTCTTTTTACATCAAGCTATTATAAATTTAATAATTTTCATAAATAGAGATTTCATAAATAGAGAATTCAGGATTAAACAAAAATTCATTTTTTGTTAGCATATTTATTATTTTCTTTTGGTATAAGAAAGTATTTCATAATTTTCTTAATTTTATATCGAATAAAATTACGTTTACATATAATTATAAATGTTTATTAGTTTATATGTATGTGAATGAATTTTACTTTTTTAAATTTTTAATTTCACATAAGTTTTTCTAATTTATCTTTAATCGGATTTAAATCGATAAATTAAATTAAACTAAATTTTATGAGCGCGCGCGCGTGCGTTAATTTAATACACTCGTACTGCGTTTAATTGCCTTAATTGGCAGATAGAAATAAAAAATACGTTCCAAAGATAGTAGTGGATATCAGCTGTAAAATCACGGCGTCGTGCGTGTGGACGAGATCTTTCCTTCTATTTAGTAAATTATAAAGTAATTAATCTCAAAATTCCATCGTCATTCTTTTCTCACAGAATGTAGGAAATAATTCGTTTTCGTTTCTTTATTCGCACCGTCGCGATCATTTCTACGACGGCGAGGCCGTTTGAGAACCACTTTCGCGCGGCGAGCTATACGGGTGGTCCACGGCGACCGCGTCGTGGCGGAACGAGCAAATACGCCGTCGGCATTTTTGACGGTGAAATCTGACTAGGTGGGATACCAGGATACCCCGCGCGCGCACAACGGCCATCATCCTCGTGTGCCCCTCGTCCATTACTACTGCTCGCCGTATATATACAGTGTATGCTCCTTTAAATCGCAACGTGCAAGCGTTGTCCTCTGCAAAGACGGCTTTGAGCCGTCATACCTAGCTTCTTCAAATGACTTATAAAAAGCGAAGGATTCTCGCGCGAAATGCTCACACATGCGTGCGCACTTTTCACGCAAAATCATTCATTCTCTCTCTCTCTCTCTCTCTCTCTCTCTCTTTTTTTTAAGATCGCTT